GTTTGATTCAATGTTTTTAGCTGTTTTTATGTTTTCCCTAGTTTTATATACCACTCAGAGTCCACTGGAGTTGGGGGGCCAATAAATCTAAATAAATAATAACAACAATAATAATAAATATTTACTTATTTATGAATTTTATCTGACTGCCTGAAACCATCTGGATTTTAGGTGGCCTACAGAATTTACATACTACAAACAAAAGATACAAAGTCAGAATAAAAGAAGCAAAACAACTAAGAACAAGAAGCTAAAAAATTATGGAACTGCTAAAAAAAAAATGTTCCTGTATTCAATTAATTCCCAAAGGCCCTCTGATACAGCCAAATGTTACCTGCTTCTGGAAGGCCATTTGTGCTTCAGGGGACAAGCTATTCCAGGGGAGGGAACTGCTACAGAAAATGAATGCATCGTAAGTGTTCCCTGGTTATATGCCATTATATTGTTTTAGTGGAGAAAAAAGCTTTAAGTTAATGTTTGCATTTTTACAAAATTGAAAATGGGTATCATATTTAATCCCTTCCAACAAATATCTTATTTTCATAGTTTTTCTGGTATAATTAATTTTCTATTTATGGAATACTATTAACCTAAGCTAGAATGTATGTTTTGTAAAAATAACATACATTTGTGTTCATGCAAGCATTTGGCTACCAATTCATGCATTTTGCAAATGTATATATTAAACAGAAATAAAAAACTTCAGATGGAGAAAAGAGAACAACACTGATTGAACTGGGCAACTGATCTCCATCCATCCATCCATCCTATAGTATAAGCAGTTCTTCTATATTGGAATGGAATTTGCTACCTAATGTAAAAGTGTATTACTGAAATATTCATCTTAATACATTTCCAGCTTATATTTGGACATATTTAAGAATAAGCAAGCACAGCCTACAAGTGAAATGAATAATTACAGCTTATCTTTGATAAGACATCAGGCTGTAAGACCTATAGCTTTATGGGAACCTTAAGGTTTGTGAACAGGATCCAGGTTTAAAACAGTGTATCAGTATGGAGCCAAATGTAAAAATAGATCTTATATTTGCAACAAATTACCGCATCCCATGAGCACTGTAGTGAGATAGCTATGTGATGTTATGTGGATTACTATATTTTTACATGGAGGTTTCTTGAAAACTACCTAAAAATTCCAGCTAGTGCAAAATCAGTCACATCTATTCCCTGTGATTTATACTGGTTTACAATGTATTTCAAAGTCCACTTTAGTTGTTGCTTTATAAAGCTTCAAGTGGCTTTGGTCCAAGTGTTTGCTAGAATGCCATTCCTAATACAGTATGTACCAGCCTGGACATGAAAAGCTTTGGAGAGTGGCTTGCTTATTACCAGTAAGCAAGGCCTAAGAGTGATTATCCAAGTCAGAATCTTCACATGTGTAGTACCGTTGTTATGCAATTTGCTGCTTTTGGAAATGCTTCCAGCATTTTCATCTTTGCAATTTCACCGATTACTCAAGACTTCTATGTTCACCTTGGCTTTTTAATTTTAGCAAATCACTCTCTTTGTGTAATATATGTGAAACCATATCCACCACAATAGCAAATTATAAATTGGTCCTCTCCTCCATGGCAGTCCTTTGTATAAGTATCTACAATATGTACTTAACATTCAAATGGCCCCCAAAGTTGGGGTTCCTACAATATGGAGAGATGCACAGTACTCAGACAAAATCCTTCAGTTTCCATACCCCAACAATCTACAGATATTTGCTAAAAGCTTGGATTATCTCTTCTTTTTTTTCACTTGCATGTATATTTTTTAATATCATAGGAGATATACCAAGTTGCATGGTAACATTATTATATGCACAAAAATTCAGATGTACAAAAATTTAAGTGTACAAAAAACTAAATATATCACATATGAGCAGATATAAACTTTGCAATTTTTTACCCCCAGAGGTCCATAAAGCTACTTCCCTTATGGTTTTTAGAAGATCTTTTATGACAGTTGTATTTCACTAGGTTTTCAACTCTAGCTAAGTTTTAATAGTGTCCAACTTTGGAAAAGATTTATTATTACTGGATTTTTCATGATTTTGATTTATTTCTACTGTTGCTTTTATAATTTCAACCCATTGCAACACGCCTAGAGTTTTCTGGAGCTGGGTAGGCTGTGAAAGGTATAAAATAAAGAAACAGGATTATTTATTTATTTATTTTGCGGTGAGAATTATATTTGCATAATTCTTACCACAGAGTTTTTTATGATGCAGAATTTGACATCCCTGTGCTAAATATTTCACATCTGAAATAATGTGTCCTGTAGAAATACTTTTAATATTTTTAGTTTAAAATAGTTGTATTAAAAATTGCTGATTTTAACTGGATAATTGTAAAATGTATTGTAACTTGAAAAAAAACTGAATCAATATTCAAATAATGTCCCTAAAGATAAATTAAGTAAAAATAGCTACATGCTCACCATTTGTAAATTCAATTGTATAGAGCAATTTACATGTAATGTGTATGAACTTTTATATCAATATACTGAACATATATTCACATAACTTACTGAACACATAAATTACTGAAAGATATTAAGTACCTGGACATTTTTAAAAGTAATTTCAGTCTTAAAACTGTACCTATCCATGAAGTTGCCAATTTATTTTTTATTCAGGCCCTGATAAAAATGTTTTGCTATGTAGTATATCTATATTTTAGTACATTTAACTAGGATGTTCTATAGGTTCTATTTGTTATTTCAAAGCATCTATTTAAAAAAAAAACTAACATTTTTTCTGACTAGTAAAACGAATCCTATTAAAAGTTATAAATCCAAACCAAATTCCCTTATCCGTAGCTGCCAAAATTTTGCATCTGAAAGAGCTATTATCGTGTTTGACTTGCAGTTCATTTCCATGAAATATTGATTTCAATGAGAGGTATTTTGGAATCATTCCTGCAGAAATATGTAGATGAAATATCCTATGAATGCACCAATCAGAAAAGTTTTTCTTCACTGCTCTTATTTTAAAAAATTGTGTAAAAAGAAACAGCATGTTAAGTAGAAATGAATTATAATGTTGTAAGATCTGAAAAAAATCACAGCAAGTACAGAATAAATTTAGTAATTGCAGATCTCATCTTCTTGAGGTTTTGTATTGCAAGGGCTTACCTGTTTTCACATGTGGCTTTTCTGCAGATTGGATCACCTCTTCAGCACTTCTTAGCGTTGACTGTTCTGGGACAGATCTTTCCTTAAGTCCTGCATTGTTTAGTTATAAAGTTAACTTTAATCTTTACATTCAAGATTTTGATCCAGTTAGGCATCATTATTAGATGGGGACATCAAACCCAGTGGAAAGTACTTACCACCTCCAGATAACCATATGTCAGCTTCAATTTAAGTTCTAAACTATATTTTAATACAATTTTTAAAAAATAGTATAGCAACTATAGTAAATGGCCCAGAGTTGCTCTGTGGTGAGATGGGCGGTGACAAATTTGAAATATAAATAAATATAAACCATTTAAAAGAAACTGCTCTCTACGTGCATTCACTGGCTTTATTCCCAACTTCCTTTAAGCATTTTGTATACCATATTCCCAAACTGATTTGAGATATAGGTGCCCAGAATACAATAGGAAATATTAAAAGACCACTGTCTCATGGAAATCTCTTTAAAATTATGCCTATATGTGCTTGATTTTGTGATTTCAAATACCAACAGGCAGTACTTCAGACAACTTTGAATTTGTTATTCTCAACATTTTCCAGCTCTGTAGCTCTTATCCACCGATGAACAAAGTGGGAAAGATAAAGGCATACTATAGTAGACCACTACCTGCTGGAAATAAATAGAAGAAATCCTTTGCTTCACTTAACAGAATAATTCCTGGTGTTCCTTGGAGCATTAGAGAGGATGAGTTATCTTCACACTGCATACCCAGCAGCAAGACACACAGACAAAAAGGAGCTATGTGCACAATAAAGAGAATGAATTCTGGACTGTACTTTTATAGGTTACACACAGAAAAGAGAGTAGGTAAATTTTCACCGCTCCCATATGTAAAAAGTTCCCAATGTAAGCCAGAGCATATTTTTATTTTTACTTGCTTTTATCTAAAACTGTACACAGGTAGTCCTTGCTTAATGACCACTCATTCAGCAACTGTTCAAAGTTACGACAGTGCTGAACAAGGAGACTTACAACTGGTCCTTGTAGTTGCAGCCGCTGCAGCATCCCTACGGTCATGTGATTGTGATTTGGCGCTTGGCAACCAGCTCACAATTATGATAGTCACAGCAGCCCACGGTCACATGATCATCATTTGCAACCTTCACTGCCAGCTTCCTACAAGCAAAGTCAACGGGGAAGCCAGCAGGAGATTGCATATGGTGATCACATATCTTTGTGTTTAATGACCATGCAGGATTTGCTTAACAATGCTAACTGGAATTGCTGCAACTGCCATCTAAGCCAGCAGAGTCACATGTCATGCTTTATGACTGCATCGCTTACCGACAGAGTTGCTGGTCCTAATTATCATCATTAAGCGAGGACTACTTGTATTGCCCTGACTTCTTAGATAGCCGATTTGTAACTAAATAATCTCACCCTGAGTAAAAGGGAATTGAACAATTCCTCCACCCAGGTGTTTTTATTGAATTCTGTCTTTCCAATATATATTCAGAAGCAAATGACTATCCCTAGACATTTTATGAAAACTTTATAAAGCCTTTCTCTTTCCCCAGGAATGGTATCACCACATGGCTCATGTACACTACAGGTTCTGAAGCTTTCAAGGAGGTTTCTGTGTTGTGAAATTCTTCTCTATCTACTTCTATCCTTTAACTGACTGCAAAAAATACAGTATTACAGAAAAACTAGGGTCACTTTGCTTACCATATTCTCTATTTTTGTTCCCCCTTATCTGCCTCTATTTCAACTAAGTCAATCTTTTTCATTCAAGAATATCGAAGGGTTAAACTAATTCATAAATGCATTCACCAAGAATGGACATATATACTATTTTTAAATATTTTTAAATAAATCACTAAAGGTACCTTCTCAAAATAAAAAGTAAACTATATTCCACATTCACTTCTAAGCATAGATTGCATATATGTAATTACTAATTTTTCACACGATCACATAAAATATAATAATTCATTCTTTACAAATTCATTGCATAATTTCAAAGCCATTTTGGGAAGTTTTGCCTTTATCTTCATGTTCAAAATGTTAACTAACCATCCATTTAAAGTGCTTCCAAAGTGCTGTCTATGTATTCCCACTTTATTTTTTTATAGATGTTTCTGAAATACGTTCTTTTTCTATTAGGATTTGGCTTGGTTAAAAAGCAATTCTAAAAATTCGCTAATTACTTTTTTGCACATAATGATTCCGTTCAATGGTTTTATTTAAAACTATAATACAAATACACAATTCAGCTTTCTCCCCAAATGGAATCAAATTGCTTTTCTAAGCTGCAAACGCTGGGGAAAAGTTGTACTGAAGGTGCAGCTGAAATCAGTATTTTGATCAAGTTCATGCATTCTAAATTCATTGTCATAGTCTTCTTATATTTCCATACATTGTCTTTGATGTATTTAAGTAATTCTTCATGGAAAACATTATGAAGTATGCAATCTAATGAGACTATTTATTGTGAAGAATCTCTAACAGGGAAGGCAATGTATGGCATCCCAGTTATTGCTGAAATGTAGCTTCCAGTAGCCCCAGCCAACACAGCCAATAGTGAGGGATGTTGGGAATCATCATTAAGCAACAGCTGGAATGCCATAGATGACTGGATCCATGCTTTATATAATGGATATTTGTTCACTGCACACAAATATATATATACACACACACAAACTTGACAACCAGATCCATGTTTATTTTTCCATTACACTTCTAAGACTTGATATGAAATATAGTTCTAAATTAAATACTACTTTCAAACATTTCAGCCTCTTTATTTTTAAATCAGCCTTTTGTGTGACATACTGAGTAGCAAAAATAAGATTCCACTGGATAATTGATCACAGTACAATATGAATGCACAAACTATATACAATTGGAACACTGCATGTTTATAAATTCACACATATACTAAGGCTGGATGGAAATAAGCATGTATTCTTGTTTACTCCAACAAACTCAAGAAAAATTGTATTACAGATGGAATATCTATGGTTTTCCTTTGTTCTTTTGACTGAAGCACTATTCAGACATGAAAGACAGTATTACTTTGTTTTTTTTCTTTTATCTTCTTCAGTTGCTTTAGAAAGGCTTTTTGCTAACTTCTTTATTTCTTTATCTTTGTCACTGGCTAATACTTTCATATCTTTATGATTTTTGTCTAACTCTGATTTTTGTTTTCCAGTTTTTCTATCTTGCTTAATTTTATCAGATTCTTTCTTTGATTTATCATCAATAATTTTCTTATCCTTTATATCAAAGTCCTCAATTTTTTTCTTTGTTTTCTTCTTTTCTTCTTCTTTGGCTTCTTTCTTTAATTGCTGCTTTTCTTTTGTTTTCTTGGCTGATTCTTTGATTTCTTTTTCATTATTTAAAAAAAGGAAAATGTTTATTTAAAAAAATTAAGTGACTAGGTGTTAGCATGCCAAACGCATATCCATTCCAAGTTCAAATCATAAACTCATGTTTCCACTTCAAAATAAGCTGACCACACAATATTAGTAGGAGCAGAAAAATGTACATAATTTATGGCCTATTTTTGTCTTTTGTTTACTTTTATGGAGAAGTGTCTTTTAGGGTTGCTTCACTGTCCTTGTTGATATTCTCCCTACTTAATCATTTTAAATTAAATTTTACCATATCTGTGTCTTCTTAACTGGTAGGCTTATCTTTATACAATGCTTACACAATATAATACAGGTTACACTTAATATAATAAAGGTTGTTACACTTAACAACCACAATTGGGACTGGCAACTCTGTCACTAAGCAATGCAGTCATTAAGTGAAACCTCATGTGACTGCAATGGACTTACCTCACTACCACTGTGGTCATTATGAGAATCACCTGCAGTCATTAAATGAGACATCATGTAACTGTGACTTGTGTTTTTACTGCTGGCTTTTCCCTTTACTCTGCTTGTTGGAAGCCAGCTGTGAAGCACACAAATGGCAATCACATGGGCGCAGGACACTGCAACAGTCATAAATGCCACCAGCTGTGAAGCACCCCAGTCTCAATCAAGTAACTGAAGGGACACTGAGACAGTCATAAGTGTAAGAACCAGATGTAAAGTTATTTTTTCAGCGCCATCATAACTTCAAATGGTCACTAAACAGGACAGCCATTAAGTGAGGACTACCTGTACTTTACACGAGACTACCTATGAAATTGATTCAGAACATGACCTTCTGGTTATTAAGTGTGGATTGCAAAATTATCAGATTCAAAGAACAAATGGATATTTGTTCCCTTTTTCAATTAAAAATATAGGTTATAAATTGAAAAGATCTTAATGATCTAAGAATACATTTTGTTCATGGCCATCACACTGTTCAAAATGTTCATATCCAAAACAGATTATGGGGATGGCTACCAGGTATCCCATATCTTTTAGGCTTCCAGTGAAAAATCTACTGCCATCCTAATTTTTTAAAAATACATAAATTAGGTCTCTTGAGTTTTATTGCCTGCATTAAGTTTTATAAACTTTTTTAAAAAGTCATTTCTTATATATAGTCCTATTTTAATTGTTAACTCTATTTGTAAGTTGCCTTATAGTCCAGACATACATTTCTTAAATAAATGAATGCATGAATGTTTGAACACCAAATTAAAAAGTTAAGCTGTCTAAACAGCACTATGCTAATGAATGAAATCTGAACTATTGGATAGATTTATATTTTAGTGAAATAAATACCACACTCTGGAGCAGAAATGGCATTTTTAATATATGCAGAGTGGTGCATACACTACATAACCATAATGAATTCTATGGGTCTTGGGGGTAGAACAATGGAAGGAAAACAGTGTAATAATACACTGCAGAACTTTCCCTTTCTGGAAGGTGAGGAGTGATCAGATTCAGACATTGTTAGATAAAATGGATCTTCTGGACCCATTTCAATCAAGGGTTAAACATACTTTTGGCAGTGAAAATATTTTTATAGCACCATGGTACAGCCTTTACTAGAGCATTTCTGTTCTGCAAAGCTCTATTTCATCTTCCACAGTATGTAATATTAACATATTACATATCTATATGTTACTGTTGAG